TTTTGGCAATTACAATTTCTAAAGTAATTTTCTTACTATAATTTAACAACAAACATTATTGTTCAAGTTCAAATCTTAGGTGAATACGTTTGTAAAATCTAGTTCTTATGAGCACTCTCCGATCTAAGATCAACTTGCTAAATATTCCATATCTAATGCCATACAAATGAATTTTTGACACATCAAACAAACTATGAACATGAAAATAGTTTAGTAAAGTAAACCAAAATGCGACATGCATAAGCTTAAAAAATAATGTATATGAAATTTGGACATATTGCGTTATTTATTAATCTGAATTATATAATTTCATCTTCCACATATACTGTTGACTGTATCTTATGTTATTTTAATTTCTGGCACATTTCAGCTGCTTTTCGGCAATAATAATGTAGATATTACATTTTTCTTGTATATAATATTCTAATATTATCTAGGCTCATAATTTCAGCTAAATTCAAATTTCAAATGAATTGACATTTCTAGTAGATGGCAGTTTAAATGTTTTCAATGTCAAACAATGATAAGTGTTTTTTAGTAATTTTGCAATATTCTAGAATATTACTAGCTTTATCGTTTATTAAATCTTAAAAATTTCCTTTGACAACTCTAAAAAGAATGATCAAAATCCGAATAACCGTTTAGGAGAATTATCAAATTATACAACACCAGAGTGTATGTTATCGGTTGTAAGATCCAGCTGATACTTTAAATTAAACATTTTAAATTTTGCAATGTATATAGCTATATATCTTTTGAAATAAATTATATCTTACAGAAAAACAATACACCATGTAATAACAAATACGAGATAATTCTACTATTTGGAACGCTGAATTCTAGATATTGGCACAACGGTGCAACGCTTCTTGACATGTTTCCAAATAGAAGAATCCAATCCATGATATTTAATGCACGTGAGACACGTGTAGTTTGTACCAATGTATCGAATTTCATTTGTTTTTTTTTTTTAATTTGCACCACAAAATTGTTCAAAATGGTACAAATGTAAATTTGTTATAGTCGCTCATTTGTCTGTCTATCGGTCAATCAGGACTGTTTTCTTCCTAGCAGAATTGCAAATATTAATCGAAAATTTGCGGTTCTTTAGAAGCAAAATTCAAAATGGAACTAAAGTTTCAAAAAAGCTTTGTTTTGGCAGATTTGTGTAGGTGTCTGTCAGTGATTTTATGAGTGAATACCTTTGTCTACAAATTCTTGTATATTTCTTGGCAACGATAAACACCATGTCAACAAAATATTTTCATGTCATTTTAATAAATTATAGTACTAAATTATTAAATAAAATAAATCTATAAGTCAACTTTTCATGCTAAACGCGTAATTGCTTTAAATAGTTTTGAACTAAAGATTGGTTTGCAAAAATCTCAACATGAATATAATAATTTCAGACAATTTTTTTTAAGAACTAATTTTACTAAAAATAAAAATTATAGCATTTAGAAAATTATGAGGTCACAAAACGTCAATTAAGACCGTAGTCTGAGAACTTTGTAATGGGCTACAGTACGATGTTATATTTACCGTTTTGTAATATAGAGTTAATATTATTATTTATTTTTATTAATAGTTATATTATATATTTAATAACCATTATAACTCTAAACTATTTTATTATAAAAGTTTCTTAAAATGTGCTCGACAACATAAAATATTTTGTGTACATATTAGTTCGTGGAATATGATGTTGCAATAGGATGGTTTTAGCTCGGAAACGTTTGCTGCAAAAACATTGGGTTTTACGTACGAAATGTGATATTTTCCTTGATTTCACGAAGCCATCATCTTAAATAGGAGTCACAAATATTTATCATTTCACTGTGGCAATCACATAATCCAGAAATGTAGGTCTATGGATTAAGGATTAATGAGTAGATTTTCATCTCGGAATCTCACTCCGATTTATTGGCAACTGCGATTGTGCTAACAATAGACAACTTACTTGGACTTACGTACAATTGTGTGCATAAAATGGAACATTCTTTAACATTTAGAGCATATTGTGTTTAGTATGCAAACCATGCCATTATTTAAAAAAAATAGTATAAATTAATTTTTGGTAAAACGTTTTTAAAAAATATATTGCAAATTATTCAAACTTATAATGACTGGTAACAAAATTTTAACTGATAAAGGTAATAAATATAATCATAATTATTTTATTGTATCAACATGAATGTGAAAAAATAGTAGAGGCGACTGGGTACGGTTGTGCCAGATTTTATGATAGTGAAAGTAGTCGTAACAGCTAGACTATACTGATTTTGAGATAGGGTCCAAAGGAAGAAAGATGAAGTATGTTTGCTCAAACAAGTTTCCATTATTGCATTGAGTCAGCGCCCTATATTTATATGATCTGTAGACCACTTTGCTTTTAAATAGCTAAATCCAAGTTTTTTTGTTAGATTTCTTTTAATAAAAACTATTACTTGTATATAGATCAAAGATCACTTTGTTTGTTATTTTACTGTAAATTGAACATTAGTAATTAATTATCAATAACTAGTTTTGTTTTATGCGGCATGTATTTGTTGTGACATGTATTTCTTGTCCTTTTTGCGCGCAATTTAAACAGATAAAAATGTAACTTAACTTAGACAAAATACCATGGGAGAAAGAGAAGAGAAAATTCAATACAAGGAAACAAAAGATTTCACAAACATTTCTTGTTTAAAAAAATGGTTTTGTCTTATATTGTTATACTATATTCATAAGCTATGTTTAAATGATAAAGTTGTGTGCGTTACATATTTCTGACAAAAGAAGTCGTTATAAATCATTTTAGTGTTTAAACCTATTGTTGCTTACCCTATTTTTATGACTGTCACAACCGTCCTTCGGGTGTGGACGATTGTGTCACTCGCCCTTTTCTTGTATGATTTTATTTTATGACTAATCTATTGTATTTGTAGACATTATTAAGTATTTCCTCATAGACATATATGTAAATTACCATTTAATTTACTTTTCTCCCAGTTAACAGCTAAATTAACAAAATATTGCTGATCAAAAAAAGTGACACAACCGTACCCAGTCTTCTCTACAATAATTTCGATGAAATTTGAGCAAGGGCATTCCATCCAGTATATACAAAAAATACACAAAATATATCAAACATGTCAATATTAATAATATATTAAATAAAAGGTGAAGTCCAAATATATAACTTAAATTCAAATTTTTCTTGAAACTGCGATCCAATCACAAAAACTTTGAATTACTGAAGTCCCTTTAAAGATATCAGGTTAGGCACCTGATATTTTATTAATCAATACTTCTTAGTATTGATGGAACTTCCAGCATCCAGAGCATCCAGAAATGAACCAATATGATGCACCACTTAATAAAGTATTTTATACTTTTGGTTTCTTTCCCTTATTAATAAATAATAAACAATTTGCCCACCTTTTGCTTCATTAAAACTTCATGATTTAATGTTGACTGAACGGGAGCCCTCATGGCCGGATTCGGGTGGTGGCGCAGATAGCAATCATTAGCATTTGAGTCGCGCTTCACCTTTGCACCTGGTAGCACCAACGGGGTCGTTCTGTATGGCTAAAATAATTAAACAACATTGTTATTGATGGCCCCATACAAGTTATATGAAATAAAAAATAATTGTTTTTATTTTCTTTCACCATATAATTAACAACCGTTCTAAGTGGCAAATATAATAAATAAAGTGAGGCGATGCGCAAAGGCTTAATTTGACTTTGAGCAATTATATTGTGAAAATCAAACCAACCATATCACAACAAATAACTGACTATTTTCAGTAAAACTCCTAGCTACATTACAGATATGCATTTTTTTTGCTGTTTTTCTAGAATTTGTCGCTAGTCTTTTTTACCCCACAAGCAGTATGTCCTTTTTTAAAAGAAATTTTACGAAATAACAGCTACATTATTCAACTAATGCAAAATATAAATTTCACGGGTACATTTTTACAGAGATATTACTCTATATAACCTTGATGTAGCATTTTCTCAAAAAAATCATCAGCAAAGTTGGAATAAATATTTATTTAACTTATCTCTTGTAAAATTGCTTCTTTTGCCTTGTTTATTTACTATTTTTTATTGTTTACACCTTTGCCAGGGTAAAAATTCAGTCGGTCTGTTTTACCCTACCCACGCATGAGTTTTTATAAAATTAATTTTATATAACTTTGCTCTGATATTTCATCAAAGATTTTGAATAAATACTTATTTAAATTACTCTTGTAAAATTGCTCTTTTAACTTAATTTACTATTTTCATTGTTTACACTTTTATATAAAGTTAAAGTTCAGTTGGTCCTTAAGGTTATATAAAAAACGGTTGAATTTACCTTAAAACTAACAATACATCTTAGAAAACGTATTAAATAAAAATTATATTAAGGTCTCGTAAACTAAACAATGCTCACAAACGAAAAAATCTAACAACGAAAAAAAAACTTTTGCTATGGATTTTCAAACATCGGCGTCGTAAGAATCAAGGTGATGGCTGGTTGTAAATATTTTTTCCTCTACTTTCAAATATTGTTATTAAAAATTCACTTGTTTTTTAAGATATCGATGGTGCAGCTTAGATAATAAATATATTTCATGTAATAAAATAGACAAATGACAATAAGTGTTAATAAAGTGCAAGTTCAATCATAAAAATTAAAAGAAATGAAATGGAATTGTGTTTTTGTGCTTGACAAATTTACAGTCAAAAGACCTAGTACAAGGGTATAGGGTGTCTTCTATTTATTTTAATATATGTTAATATACTATTTAATTTAAATGTTTTTTAACATGTTTTCATACTCAGCACATATATTCTTATATATTACTTTCTAATAATAATATAAACATATATTAAATAATAATAATATAACTAATTTATTCATTAATCATGCATAAATTCATATAATAACAGATCCAAATAAATACATGCAAATAATTATAATATTCATATATTATACATACATACACATTATATACATTATACATATTATATATACATATGTGTACTTGTGTTTGCATATATTATAAATAAAAATAATGTGTAACCCCACTAATCCATAATTTATATCGAAGATAATAACACATTCCATGTCTCATAATATAAATTCTTTAAGCATATTTTATGCCTCTATAATCTGTTAATGCATATATTCACACTTCATATATTTTATAACCTTCACAACCTTGGATTACTTTAAATATTATGTCTGGTTGCAGAACTATTTACAGAAAAACAAAAACTTCTCCTTCAGGAAATCATGTATTTATAAAATAAATAATCTGAATGAACGGAATTGCCAAACGTTTTACATTTATCTCGGTTGTTAACTTTATTAATTAACGAAGATCTCCTGATCATACTTTAGAAAAAATGAATATATGTGTATGTTGTGACTTTTTTTCCAAATTTATTAAAAATTTATGACGGCTTATGCTTTGTTTTAAAATTTCCTATTTCTCAAATATTTTTAAATCGTATTAATTTACATCAACTTGCTGATTTATTTCATTTATTTGATAATTTCTAAAGTTCTCATACATTTGTTACCCACTTACTCTTAAATAGATAATAACACCAAATTTTCTTATAATATTGGTTTTTGTTCTTCGAAATGGTGATAGTTGTTACTGGTCTTTCGAATCCATGCTAAATCAGATTACACCCTTCCAGGAGGTCCCATAATTAGTTAGTCTAATTTCTAATAGTTATCTTTCCAAGTTGACTACAAAATTGGCCATGCTTTTTGGAATTATCTAATACGATCGAAATTATTTTCAACATAGTATTTTATATCTTTTTATTTCGAGGGTAACTCTAGGCTTTTTTTAAATTATAATAGCCGCCTAGCAATCCTTTTTCAAATTTGTTGATTGAAATGTATCAAAACATTTTGATGCCTTATTTTTTATTATTTACATTATAAGCCATTATATGTAAAAAATAAGTAGATATTTGTGAATCGTATGTATGAAAAGAATGATAATCCAAATAAATCTTACAATTTTTGAGTATGCTATATACGGTAAACAACAAAATCTTTAATATTTCACATAGGTTAAATGATGGAAATCATCATACATAAATTTATGAATTGTTAGAAAAATAAATATTAGTTTGTTTTCATATATTTAGGAAGACATACTAAAATATAATTCATACTCTATTTTATAAAAATACTAACATTTGCTGAAAAACAAATCTGTTGCAGGACTATCAATTTTGGTTATATAAATAATACAATTCAAATAATAACATTAATGAAATGCCAACAAAATCTCAAGTTAAAGCCAATTTTAAATTATTTTGAAACAAATAGCTAATTTTCCAGTTAGATAATAGTCAATGATTTACATTTATTGATGGCTATACGGATTTCAGTTCCATAAATAAAGCGAAATTTTAAAATAAATACGCTCGACGTCTACTATATAATGGAAATTAAGTAAGAGTCGAACGATATAAAATATACATGTGTTTACTTTAATAACTATTAATAGCTCGTTATGTATAACTATAAATATTGGACTTAGTGTTTCAATTTATACATGATTAATTATATCATTCTAAAACTCAAAACAATAATCGATTGGGCGTTGTTGCTGGCACTGTAATAAGATGGTGGATTGTAAGATTTAGTTTAATAATTTGTGATCAATTTTTTTTGTTTAAATTTATTGCAATAACAATGGTCTGCTGCAAATAGTTCTGTTAGGTCACTAAAAAGATCGGAAAATCTGGGTAGAAGTATATATACTATAGTAATTATAATTACTTCATGAAAAATGTTTAATAAACAAATAGTGAAGTAATTACTCATTAAACTTATTATAGACTGGTAAATTGTTATATAAAAATTATATTTGATATCAATATCAAATGAAATATAATTATAATAAAATTTACAGGAATATTAATAAACCATTTTTCATGTTGATTATAATAACGATCAATAAGATAATAAATAGTTAATCACAAAACTGTGTATCGCATTCAGTCAATAATTTCAAATATCAAATGTGTAAGTTTAAGACAACGAAACAGCTTTGTTTGTATTATAATTATATAAGTATAATTTTTTTTGTTATGGCTTTATTGATTTATATAGAGGATAATTCAATGCACTAAATAAATATTAGATTATTTATAATTTAAAAATAAGCCATAATTAAATTTATATAGGTATAAGAATGTCGGGGCAAAAAGGTCCTGTTTAACATCAAATAATTATACTGTAGAAACCAATAAAAGGTCTTCAATAAAAAAGACCACCACAGATATCTCAAAAACCAGTAAAGTTATTAATTTTTTAACAACAATATTTGAAAGTAGAGGGAAAAAAATGTATAAGCAAAATAATTTGTAAAAGCAAATAAAAGAATAAATTAAGTTAAAAAGGCCATTTTAAAAAACAAAGTAAACAAATACTTATTCGAACTCTGCTGATGAATATTTCTGACAAAATACCAGATCACGGTTATATACAGAGTTATCTTTGTAAAAAATCCACCCACAAAATTTATATTATACAATCAATTAGTTTTCAAAATATAGTTTAGATCAAAGTCAAATTAGAGCTTTACGTCCTGCCCTACCCTACTGTTTAATTACCAATACCGAAATTAGTAAAAAAAATATATTATTTTGGAAATATGATTATAAAAATGTATCATATACAACTTTTATAAAGTAATAATCTTATATATAAAAATGAATCGCAAAATGTGTTGGTAAGCGCATAACTCAATAACGCCTGGATCAATTTGGCCAATTATTTTTTTAACATGTTTGTTGAAGTCCAAAGATTGTTCTTACGGCGAGAAAAAAACGAATAATTGCCGGAAAAACTCTAAAAACTGCCCTTTTTTCACATACAAACGTTTTCTAACAAAAACGTTGAATCAATTTCAGCTTCATTGCTATAATATAAAGTTCATATTAAATTACAAGCACTCACTGTTATCTAAGGCAGGTCCTGCCGTTTCGAAGATACGGAGCAAAAAGTGCCAAAAATGGTAATTCAGTTATTGAAGCAACGGAGCGCCCGAATTAAATGATTTAATTTGAACAAAATGAAGAATTGATTAAATTTTTAGAAAGGCAGCTCTAGCGGTTACGGAGACAGAGAAAAAATGTAAAAAAAAATGATATTTAGCGGTCTAAAATGATCATTAGACATATGCATATCAAATTATCAGATATTTTATAGAGATTTTAAACATGTGAATTAATTTTGTTACATTGTTTTTGGTTCCGTATCAAGATTTTTAATTTCTAAAGTTCACTTATACGGTTCAAACAAATTTCAAAATTTCCAGCATGTTTTTTTCAAAATTTTCAAAACTATACAAAATTTTATACATGCTTACATACATATTTAGACAGATGAAATGGCAGGCAGGTAAATTGGTAGATATGGGTAAAATGGTGGACAGATAAACTCGAAGATAAATAAAATGGACAATATGACAACTGGTAGATAGACTAATTGATAGACAGGTAAATTGGTAGACAAGTAAATTGTTGAACAGGTAATTGGTAGACTGATAAACAGGTTGACAGCTAAACGGGTGGACAGGACTAGATATCACACATATGCATTTTGGTTTAAATTTTTAATTGAAAGTAAAACACGGCAAAGCGTGAATTGGTACAGCTAGTATTTAATAAAATAAACGTATATACTAAGCCACCAATACAAAGAAAACTAATAGATTTTTATTTAATACATTAAAATGTATCATTTAATCTAAAATAAACATGTTGATATTATGTTGTTTTATTTAACTGACATTGTAATAACTAACAATTTTCTTTCAATCGGAATAGTCAATTTCGCATTAAAATCAAGTCATTGATAATAAAACAAAATTGACATTTCAAAATATATGCATCAAGACAGACGGTTTAATTTGGCTCATATCCCGTAATTGCGTCAAAATACTGGCAACTGCAGCAATATAATGCATTTGCTGCCCACGTATATTTTTTGATCCGTGAATATCTGCCAAAAGTAACACCTTCCTTATAATCGAAATATAAACACAAAAATTATAATGGAAAATTGACTCTAGCTCATCATATACTGTCTTTGGTTTAAAAAATAAAGAATCTGTGTTTCTGACAGGCAGTTGAACGAAGATACCAATTAATTGTTTTATTATTTATTTTTGAATAGCAATTAGAACTTAACAGTTCTGTGAACTGTTACTAATGACTTCTTCACAAAATCACTTTTCAGAAGACAGGTTGGTCTATCCATATTTGATATATTTTTATTAGGTTTTTTATTGCTGATGATATATTTTTAATTAGATACCAGTGAAGAATATTATCACTTGAAAACATATTATGAACTGATTAATACTGTAAAAGTAGTTACTCGTGCCATATAATTCCATACATATACCTAATTTATAAGCACTAGTATAGTAATTTTTAGAAAATGTCATCTCCTATCTTAAAAAAAACTGTCAAATGTTGCTGGATATCTTGCAAAATGTAATTCAAATTTGATTTTGCTATTTTTTTTTCAGAATATTCTCACAACGCAAATTGCTTATTTATAAGCATATATAATTATTATTTTTTTTATCTTTCTGATAAGATGATTATATAATAGTTTATTGCTCTTGTAAATTATATTGACATCATGGTACTACAGTATTACTCAAGAAAATAGCAAATTTTGTGCGAACACAAATAGAAATTTTCAGCCTTGTGCCGTATTTTTCTCAAAATATAATGTTCTAAAAATATAAGGAGTACACAGTTTATATAGTACATAGTTTCAGCGGTGACATTTCTAGCCAAAACTAATATATATATATATGTAAAAGAACTAATAAAATAATGAATATTAAATTTAATTAGTTTGAGAAAATATTAAAATTCGAATTCATTCACTTTTTTGATCATAAAACCATTTACAAAAAACAATTAAAAATAACGTCACAACTAAAGAAATGTATTAAATGCGTTTACTAGTGCTATGTTAACACTTTTGGCAAAAAATCAATTAAAATCTCATTATTATCGAAATTTAAAAAAAATCAAAAGCAGCATGGTTCAATTTTCTTACATAAAAAATCAGAATACACACCCATGTTCATTGATAGATTTGCTTCAACGTTTTGGATTTTTATCCACAAATAATTTAAAAATAATTTTTTAAGAATTTGTTTGATAGAATGAAATAAAAAACGTAAGAAAACTAAACAGTAAGATAAACAAAAAACATAAAAAAGACACATGAAAAAAGTAAAAGTATAAATTAGGTCTATTTTGAACATTTGTAAAAAAAAGTCAAAAATATAATACCTTCTAACTATATATCTATAATAGCTATTTCAATCATCGTAATGTAAATGTGCTTGAAAATTAAATGTATATATTATAACAATGTATATGTATTAAACCTACAAGTACTAAAATGAGCACATTTTTCCTTGAAACGTTGTTTATATTTAATTAAAATTTATAATTACAATCTAATTGTAAGATTCTAACAAAAATGAAAAATATTTAAAATTAAATTAATAATTTATATTTGTAATACGATATCAAAAATGCAATGACTAAAATATATAGGTAAAGATCAAGGGATCACGCCAATGAATCAAAAAAACAAGAATTGTAAAATTTTCTTTTTTAATAGTTTATTTTTGACTTTGTATTTAAGTAAATTGTTTATATGATTTTTCAAAGATGTAAGTTGTATAACAATATATCATATTAAACTTGTCCAAATTAATACCAAAACATTGAATTCTGCGCTGTAATTTGTTAGCTTCATGTTTCATCGTTGTTTAGTTAGTTGTCTTATATGTTCGTGCAGATGATGTATACATACTGCCTCTCGATTAGTTATTTTTACAAACTATTGCTTCACAGCGAATTTCGCTTACAAGCCGCCAAAATATCAATTCAATTGCTTGAAACGCTATTGGAATGTGACCCTTTAAAACATCCAACTCTTTACTTCTTTTATCACATGTTTCAATAGTATAGCCAAAGAAAAAATTAATTGTTTAAAAAAATGCCATATACCACCGTTAAAAATTTTGTTATAATTGTTATTTTAGTTACATATTTATTATTATTTACACCTTTGCCAGGGTAAAGGTTCAGTTGGTCCTTTTCATCCCGCCAACGTGTAAGCTTTTATAGAGATTATATAAACAAAACGGTTGAATCTTACTTAAAGTTAACAATACATCTTATAAAATAATTTAATAACGTATACTAAAAAAATATATTAAGATCTCGTTAATTAAACAACAGTGCTCATAACCAAAAAACTAACTAACTCAATGTTTGCATTCCAAATTCGGTAGTATAAATGGAATAAAAATATTTGATTTATTTTTGTTTTTGTTTAATCTAACAAGATTAAACAAAAAACAGTTTAACTAAGAAATCTTTAAAATTATCTTTTTAAGTAAATCGAAAACGATATCAAGTTTTGTATAAGACATAAGCAATCTCTTCAAGAAATAATAAGATTCCAAATAAACTGCTTGACTGTTTAATATTTACTAGCCATTGCTGTGTAAGTATTGTAATAAACATCATCACCAACATCTAAGATTTTGATAATTTCAGACAATATTTTAAAAACAATGTCAATCTATATATATATATATATATATATATATATATATATAAATAATTGTATGTCTGTATGTCCGTGTATGTCCAATGTATTCATAAACCGTACATCCATTCGCCGTGATAATTTGGGAAACTGTTTGGTACATCCCTGGACAGGTTTTCGCATATTTTGATTGAAAACAAGTGGTTTCCCACCCCCAAAATTTGTTTTTATTTTTGAGTCAATTCATATTTTTATATAATGCGTGTATATAAACTACATATAACCCTAAATTTTACATATAACCCTCTTGCCACAAACCCCTATTTTGTAAGAATTTTAAAAGTGTAATTATATTAATTAAATTATTTTTTACCTCAAATTCTATCAGTAAACATCTTTGACTGAATTTCGATTGAGATTTTTTGAGCTAATGAAATAATAAAAGTCCAATTTTACATAAAGAATATTTTCATTAGGAACTGCTAAACTTTAACACTTTTTTTAATGCATTGGTTCATTTTTTTTATTTTTTTAAATAGCAACGTGTTGTGATCGGGTACAAATAGTTCAATATATAATCTTACCCAAAGTGTTGCAGAATCATCCATTTTATTTCCGTGATCCGTGGTGTACGACGTTTTGTAGGTGTAAAATGTTGCCATTGTTATGTGCACACTGAAATTTAACTATAATTTAATAAGATAAACAGTATTTTTATGTCTTATATATATTTAATGAATAAATCACAATGCGCAATTAGGAGAAATATAAAATTTAGAATTATATGTAAAACAAAATAAAAGGTCTGAAGCAAAAATGATTAGGTTAATGAGTAATTACTAAATTACTAATTAATAATTTTTAACAACAGTAACTTGCAATGAATTTTAAAATATTGATTTAGATAATACACCTAAAATATTTATTGCAAAAACACCCAAACTATTTGAGCGCGACTCAAAATTTCGATGCTGATCGGTTCGAACGACTTATATCACGCGCCGGCTATTTCAAGACTAAAGAAGTTCTTTAAGAAACAAGATTCGTGAAATCTATTTGTATCGGTAAATCTATATCTATAGATATATATATATAAATATATATATATAAAATATATATATATATATATATATATAATATTATAAACATGCGCAAGATCTACTTCTAGAAGTTTGCGCGAATTTTCAAGTGCACACATACATGTGTTAGTCAGCTATTTTGGTAAAATCATGAGAAGCAGAGGCAGGGTGATCAAAAATTTGCGTCATGTCGTAATTTTATGTAGATCTTTTCATTACGATAATTCAATGTTGCCAATTGCAAAGTTTTCCTCACTCATCAACGACTTATTTACCACCAAAACATATGGTTTGTTGGTAAATAGAAAAGATATAATTAGCTTATTCATTATATGTTACTGATGTGAAATCAGTTAACTCTAGTGTATTTGAAATATCTTTTCAAACATTGAGGTCCTTCTGAAATGAAAATCTTAATATGGTATTCTAGCCTATCCATATTGTTCGGACGTATTTTCGTTTTATTATATTGGCCATGAAGGTGACAATCTTAATGGCATTGAGCTTTTACACGGAATGGTTGCTACCACTGGTAGAGTGGGTAGCGGAGAGTTCGATGTAACTAATTGTTCACTTCTAAAAGGAAAGCCCGCGAAACAACATGGATAATGAATAATCAATAAATATATCTTCTTGCATTATAACTTAGTAACAAATCAGTGATTGTGATAAGAACTACAACAAATACATACAAATACAAAACAAATCAGTGTTTAATACAGTCCACAGCTACAAGGGTTGAATTATAACCCAACAACCTGAGTTAATCGAAGGAGAGTTTTAATAAATTCTATAACGACGTATCGCAAATACACATATATTTCTTTTAAGTTAAAAGAAGCCAGAGTTTTAAATCAAGCTTTAAAAGGCTATTACTTATTGCATAAATTTTGTTTGATCATTCGTGGGCACTTCGACAATTATATTGGAAAGCATAAAATAGGGGAACTCCCATGTCCCATGTAGATCTTCGAAAACCATAACAATATTGAGCAATATTCGATACCCAAGCCTGATCAAATGAATCCAAAAAGAATTCATGTTCATAAAGCACATTACCTGTAATCGCCAAAATGCAATATGGAAAAGCCTTGCAGATCTCTCATTTAGCTCTGCACATATGTTGCTCTCAACAGTGTAAAAGAAATAATAATCTAATTTTAGGAAGAGGAAACATTCGTGCACCATATGTGCAAAACAATTGATACCAAACATTTTACGCAAGTTTTCATAAGTATTATTTCATGAAAGAAATATATAATTTATAATTTAAATCATTCACTATTTGGATAATCAATGGCACGAGTGCAGATATTTGAAATAATTCTGTATGCGCAAGTTCTAGGTAATAATTAGTAAAATTACAGTGCAATTACTGCTATCATGTCAATCTATCACAAAATACAATACAATCTATCACAAAATCATAAGGTTTCATATGAAATAAAACAAGATAAATAAATCAATAAAAATAAAACCGTTAAGTACATATTATAAGCTAACACGATTTAAAATTACGTATATTTGAAGGCATTAATATGGTGATTATAATCTCAATAAATTTGTTATTCAGTTCATAGGATATAAATTTTATTTAAATTGTTTAAAAACCATGTTTAATTATTAAACATCCAATATGAAATAGATTCAAATGAATAAATTAACCCTCTCGCTACGGATGTCGTCCATTGACGACATCCACATCTCATGCTGCATGTACGGATGTCGTCCATGTACCATGGACATAATGTGTTTCAAACTTCATTTCAAGATTCATCACTATAAGTTGAATTATTGTAATTCTAATTTTTGTTGTAATTTTTAGATTATTAGAAGTTTTATTGATAATGATAAAAAAGTCTGAAAATATATCGCTATGTCTGTATGTTCAGTATTGCTACTAAAGAAAGGGGGTTAAGAAATGAAAAATGTCGTACATCATCATTCAACATTTACTTCAATATTCAGTATTTGCTTTATTACAATTTTCAATATTATGTAAATTGTATATAAATAAAATAAGCTCTTTACTAATATCCATCGATAATATTATTCTTGTGATTGTAAGAGTTCAAAAATGCTAACCTATCTAATGATTTTCAACAACTTGTAACATATTTACCCAGAATAAAAAGTTCTACTATGCAAGAACTATATAGCTTGTATAGTGAATGTATTAACAAAAATAAAAATGATTAATTAAAAATTTCATTATAAAAACTGAAATTAGCTGTCGGTGCCACTTGGCAAAAATCCCATCGTAATATGATGCAGAAGCTAGATGAAGATAACATATTGCTCATTAGCGACTTGCGAAAACTTCCCGTTGATAAATTGTAAGGAAAAATAAATAATTTAGTGTAATTAAATTTAAGAACTAGTTGTAAGCAGCATTATGCCTTAAGGCAAGTTGCATGAACATCCCGACATATGTAAATAATCGATTTAATCAACAAAAATTACAATTAGCTATTGCATTAGCATGTTGTATACAAAGTTTCATCAAATTCATCATCAAAAATTGCAAAAACCAACCCTGCCGATCTTTAACAAAAACAAATCAACAACGCATTTGTCATCTGTTTCGCCCATAGAAGGGGTAAAATGGGACATCCAGAGTCTTATTTCTTATTTTAAAGCTATTTTACTAAATAGCAACTACATAATTCAACCAATGCAAAACATAAATATCATGGGTACGCATTTTGCAGAGAGATCACGGTTTATAACCTTGATCTGATATTTCGTCAGAAATATTTATCAGCAAAGTTGGAATAACTATTTATTTAATTTGTCTCTTGTTAAATTGCTTTATTTAACTTAATTTACTTTCTTATCTACTATTATTTATTGTTTACGCCTTTGCCATGGTAAAAGTTCAGTTGGTTTTTTTTACCACATACACGTTTAAGCTTTTATGAAGGTTATATGAAAAAACTGTTGAATCCAACTTAGAATTAACAATACATCTTATAAAACAATTAAATAACGTATTCTTAAAAATTGTATTAAGGACTCTAAGAACAACGAAAATAATTTATTATTAATACTTGTAAGAATCAAGGTGATGGTTGGTTACACATCTTTTTACCTCTACTTAAATATTGTTGTTAAAAAAATTAACTTTACTTTTGTTTGAGATAATGATGGTCGACCTTTTTACTCGCGGACTTTTAAAACTCGCTCTACCCTATAAATTAAAGTCTTAAAATCGATTTTGAATCACAAAATATAGAAATATAAAATCACCTTATACAATGTATACTAATTCTCGGACCGAATATGATTAATAATAAAGCCAAATAAGATTCCATAAAACAAATTTAGCCAAAATTACGTTAGGGACACAATTACGAGAAGTTCCTCCTAAATTAAAATTTTGTATTACAAAATTTATATCCATGCTCAAATTGTCAAAACATATAGTCATTTATAAGTTTTCTCCAACGAGCACAAATTGGACAGCAATGAGGAAAACATTCTATGCTTTATATATTTTTTAGAAATAAATAAACTTAGTTATTAGTTGAAACTCAGGCTTGATTAATCAAACGAAGATTTAATAAACAATTTACTTCATTAAAATCAGTAATACGGAGATAGAAGCTATATAAATCTATTTTAGATTTAGATTACACAAATACGTCTTGAAACAGTTCAGTTGACCTATTTGCTCGATTGGATTCCGTTTCGTATCGTCGATATATTTTAATAATCATTAAGAATTAAACATAATTTACTTAATTATATTGCATTAGACTAGTGAATTGTTTATGTTCACAAAACGATTATGTTTGTAAACAGGCTATTGGGTGAACGGAAAATATAAGTCAATAATATTTTGTTTAGTGTTTCTATAAATTTCAACAAATAATCTTATTCCAAATAAAATATCAATAAATTCTCAACAAAACTGGTATTTGTGTGAACAGGCTATCGGGCAAACGGAAAATATAAATCAATAATATCTAATATGTCTAAATTAGAACTAGTCAATAATTTCTTTGGTGTTTTTATTAATCAATTCAACATATGATCTTATTCCCCATAAATATCAATAATTTTTTTATTTACCTTTCAAGCAATTTCAACAGTTTGTCGAATAGAGTTCATAAAGTTTAACATCGAATTAAAAAATCAAGAGAAAGCAAATTCTTTCAGTCTTAACATCTGGCAAAAATCAGCGGTCTTTTGTGAGGAAAATGATGTCTTATCAAACATGCTTTTCAGGGACCGATTATAGTGCATGGTATTTATTGTAACCTTGCAATTTACTGTCATGTTAATTCTCAATGTACATGAGCAATAAATATTTGTTTATTTTACATCAAAACAATTTATTTTAGAGAACATTCTTTCCTTTGCTTCATACCACATTATCGTCAATCAATATAATTATTTGTTAGTAAACCGTAGATCTATATTATTCTATATTAAATTTTATAAATTTAACGACCGAATTACTTTGAAAAAAAAACTAGTGGGGCGCATGGCATCGTGCCTTAAGGCAAATTGCTGGAACTTCCCGTACCAAATATTATTATTTTTTAAAAAACGATTAACATTTTTGAAAAAAATTTACTTTGAAAAAAATAGATTTTTGCGAAACTAGGACTTTGACAAAAAATTACTTTTTTTGGAAAAAAAAGTTTTTCTTTTTGAAAAAAAATGTTTTCTTTATTTTGACATATTTTGGAAATTTTGAACTTTTTTTCAAAGCAATCGTACTGCTTTAACTGCATACAGACAAAATGTAAAAGCGTGTAAGCGCCGCGTCGCCGTCTAACGGATAAACATTGGTACGGAACCCATAGGAATGCAAACAAAACTTATACTTATTGTTAAAATCTCTATAAAGTATCTGTTAATTTGATGTGCATATGTCTAATGATCATTTTTGACCGCCAAATGGATTTTTTTTTAATTTT